ATTTGAGATGCCTCTTCATTGCATGCAATACCTGCAACCAGTGAGAAAAGGGAACCAACACATGGGAAAGGAACTGAAGGCAGACAAAAAGCATTTTAAGAGTGTTATGAAAAACTTGTTCCTACTGCTGCTGCAGTGTTTTAGATTGAAAAAAAAAATCACTACTGATGCACTTCCACTTTCCTATTAATTTTTACTATGAGAAAGACTGAGCTCTACAAGAAAGCATTTTTAAAAATTCAGAAATATGATAAATATAGCACAAAAACCACAAGGGAAAATATTACCCTAAGACTTTTAGGATGAACATTTATTATGGGGGTACTTTTCTGTAATTCTGCCCTAAATATCTCTGTCTTTCAGCTCCCTTCTCGGAACATTACAGTAAATTCATGTATTCACTCAAGGATACTGTATAATCAACCATTCAGATATAATGGTGAAGGAAATTCAAAATGTACATTGAAAATTTCAGGGTTTGGACTGTTTTTCTCAGATCATTCTTTTAATGGAAAACACTTCTTAATTTCAATTAACTGTTCTCATACTGATGGAGCCTGTGAGTCCAAAGCATTGATTTAATCACTACTCCAAATTCACACCTGAGTCTGTCCTACTTAGTTCAGCCTTTAAAGAATTCCTAATCATTTAGTTTGAGGAATTGAAGTCTGTGATACAAAGTGTTACCTGTATCACTCCATCATGTTCTTCAGGCTCATTTCTTCATCTTGTGGAACAGATAGTACATGCTTCTGTTATTTATCATAATGCATATGCACAGGAAATGGATTTTAAATTCTGAAGGCAGGTCAAATTTTCGCATACTTCTGAAAAAATATTGGGTAGTTTTGTTTGGTTGGGTTTGCTGTATAATTTATTGAAAACTGGAATTGCAAGGACTTTTAATCATATCCCCAAAAAAATTACTTTGCAGTAATGTTTTAAAACATTGGTGTGAAATTCCTGCTGTTTCAGCCTGAGCACAGTGATAGGTTCCAAAAGAGCTGTGGATAGTTAATCATGAACATTACTGGCTCATTTTTTCTTTCATTTTCTTAAATGAAAATGCTTCATGAATTCATGCAAAATGAAAATGCTTTCTGCTTTCACCCTACAATTCAGCTCTTTGAACCCTTCTTTGAATGTAATATTACATTTAACATCTAATTTCCATTCTGCATGGATGTATATTATTTTTATGACATGGAAAATTATTAATTTATTATGATTTACATACAGTTTTTTCAATTTCTATGTGATCCTATGATTTTTTTACTTGTGCTATTATTATAAAAAATGATGAATGAATTTCGTGCAGTTCTTCTGTTCTGATAAGCATCCAAATATTTCAATACTTACTCAAAACTTATCCAAAGTTTCCTAATCTCTTGAGTCTGCAAAACTAGTCTGAACACTTAAGAGAAGGGCTTTCCTCATGAGGTTTCCAGTTGTTCCACTAGTGGAACCTGATGGAAATACCATAAGATCAGCTTTTCTTCCAGTTGTTCCAAATTTTTAACATCTGGACAGAAAACGGAAGTGATAAATCCTGCCCAGAAATTGTATAAAAGGAAAAGTTGGGTTCTTAAAATAGGTGAAGAATGGATTTTTTTTAACTCCTCCAAACTGGCCAAGGAATGACTGAAAAAAAGATCAAGAATCCAGAATTAGAGATGAATTAAGTCAGCTGATACCATAAAAATATAGCCTGCTCAGTTGAAACTCCTTAGAATTTGGCTATTCATGAAATAACATATGTGGAGAAAAACTTAAATTTGGTGCCATTTTAGAATCTTTCAGTGATAAGTATTAATTACAGTCAATTATTTGTTCATTTATGAGTAGGTTGTACACAGATCTTGGTGGGAAAATGGTCTTGTACAGAATTATCAGTGTGTTTCTTCCCAGTACCAACACTCTGGGAGACATCCTAGCTCTCAGTGTTACCTTTTCTAAATAGCTCTAATTTCAGAGTTCATCTGCTGAGGAGATGGGGCAGTTTAGCTGGTGATGAACAGCATTGAAATGACTTGTAGCCACAGAGGCATATTTCTAGACAAAAGAATTAATAGATAAGTGATTTTACAAAATTATATTTGTTGGTTGGTATCTATTTAGTCCAAAGTGTACCTGGCAGAGATGAATTACCTCTTGTTGAAGCCCTTCTTTTCACCACTGAGCCTTTACCCACTGTGCTTTGTATCACACCATGAATGACAGATTCTCTTAGCATATCCTCTGATTCTACAAGCTCTTTCTTCCACATTTATCTTCCTGTTTGAACACCAGACACCAGCTGCAGGTTCCTCTTTACAGATTACAAAGTCAACCTACAGAGTCCTTTATAGTAAGAGTGCATCACCATGCAAAGTGAGCACCACTCCCAAGTTCATTCATCTGAAGCTACAAAAATGTTATGAGGTTCCTCTTCCCCTTTATAGAAATGAAAGCTCAGGAAGCAGGGACTTCCAGCATCCTCCCACCCCCACAGATCAGAAATGTGTGGAAAAACACCAGTGGCAGCATGCCCCAGCAGGCTAAGGTTCAGGACCCCTGGAGTGCTTGGAAATAAGGAGTAGAAATGGGCTCAGAAAACAAGACAGTGATCAAAGACATGAAATGTTTTGTGAAAACTATCCAAATTAATTTGCTGCATGATGTGTCTCTTGCTTTGTTTGAGGTCACAAACTTTTCAGAATTTTATGGAGTGCAGTGTGTGCAGGCACTGAATATGCCATGCTCTCAGCACTTCATCAAAGACATCTCATCTGGCACAAAGCACAGCATTTTAGCTGGTGGTAACCTCCCTAACAGGAAATATTTCATAGCATAAGTTTTCTGCACATGAAAGCACATAGAGAAAGTTCCAAATAAGATAAACATACGAGTGTATGTTAGCCTTTGAAATCCTGCACATGCATTGTAGAAATATGTTAGAGTTACAATTCACTTTATGCTTGTTTTCAGGAGACAAATACTTAAATTCAAGGACATATAGGTCAGTGCAATCATTTGCAGGCAGTTTCACTTAAGGACATTAGCTGATACAGTCATCACAACTCCCTTGCTTTCCAGGTTCTTGGAAATCATTCTGGCTCTGTACTTGGTTAAGCATAGAAACTGTGTGCTATTTCACCCTATCTACTAGGTTAGCAACCTCTAAGACATGCTTACCCGCCCAGCATCCAGCCATCTCTGCCCAGCACTTAGGTGAAGCCACTGCATTAAGGCCCACAGTGAAAACTGACTTGACACCTCTTCAGCATCTTACTAATGGGAGTGAGTCCTGTCTGAATGGCACTTTAAATCTGGAGGGAAACAACTCTCCAGAAAAACAAAAACAAAAACAAACAAACAAACAAAACAAAAATAAACCCCCCCCAAAAAAACCTACTCCAAAACCCCAACAAAACCAAATAAAGAAAAAGACACTCCTGATCCTGTTGGTGCTGCGTTTACACATGAAACAGAAAGGTAAGGCCCTTACTCTCTCAGATAAGGGAAAATAAGGAAATATAAGATGCTTAGAGACCTTCTGAAAGTAGAAAAACTAGGAGGTTTGGTCAGATTGTCTTCCGGACTGTGAGAATGGCCCAGGAAGGGGTGAACAAGGTTCATTTCTCCTGGGAAATCTGGGAGCTAGTTGAGTTGTCTTTAGAGGGACAAAAGATTCTCAAAAAGGAAAAGCTGCAAGAGAGATTACTGTATGTAATTTATGAGATCAGTTTATGTAAAAGCATTGTGAAACAGAGCTATATGTCAAAAGTTTGAAGTAATTATTGGATTGATGTGAATTCTTGAATCCTTTAATTGATGCGAACTGTTGTTACCAACAATTCACATCAATTCTGCTACTTTACCTTTTAGACTGATACCCAAACCTCTATCCTCAAACCAGCATTTAGGAGCTCACCTTTGAACTTTTGGACTCAGCTGTGTAACATTTTTCTTCAAGACATGAGAATGATCAGACAGAAAGCCAGTAATACTTGTAGAATGCAACCCAATTTTTTTTTCCCTAGAATTTTTGAGAATGCATATGATCTTGAATTTTCTTCATGAGCTTATAGCACTTGTCATGCACTAATATTTTCAGCTTCCTTTTTATTGTTTCAGGTTGTTTTCTCTTTTACACTGTTACAAGCAATAAAACCTCAGTATTTGCACTTCACTAGAAAATAAACACAGATTTTCCTAAATGCAATTGTTATAACATAGAAGAGATTTTCAAAACAAAAGCTCATTGGCAAATCATGTGTCTCAAATATTAAAATGAAGTATCCAGACATAAAATTGGTATTTCATACTATTATTTCAGGAAACATTCTTTAACATTTTAATAAGATATTTCAATGAGTTGATGCAAAGTTGCACAAAATACTAGGAAATCACGCCAGCCATAAGTTTAGAGAAACACATGAACAAAGCCATAAAAAATCAGGGCCCATAAATTCATGCAAAATATTTCACTAATCATCTCAGAATATTCATTAAACACTGCAATATTTGAATATGCTACCCCTGCACCTAAGAATATTCAGACCCCACTTGCTTGAGGTGTAATAAAAATAAATGTAAAGCAACATTGTGACTACAGATGTGGTAAGAAAAGAATAAAAACAGCTGCTTGACTTTCTGCAGGTGCTGCTCACTAGATATCAATATAAAGAATCCTAGTTAAAGCACTGCTTCCCAGACTTCTGTAATTTCTTCCTTCTTAATCACATTATGCAAAAGACAGCCTGCAATGTTAACCTGAGTTGGGCGTTGTAATGTAGCCTGTGGTTTCTCATGCTGAGACACAGATCTTAAAATCACTGTGATCTACACAGAAACTCTCACTTGCTAAGCAGCAGCCAGAAATGCAGCCCTCTCCAACTATCCACTCCATGCCAAGTTGTTTCACTATTGATTAAAGGCAGATGTGGCACAGTGAGCTGCTGCCAGATAATGATCAGCATTTTCTCTTTAGTGATTGGGTTCCCTTCACTGCTGTGCAGCTCTGAAACTGTCTTCAGAAACGTGCTACTTCATTGTCCAGAAAATCTGCACTGTACATTATTCCCACTGGACGTCACAGGTATTTCTCGCTGGGCAGTGTTCAGTTTGAGATCCAGAAGCAGCAGTGCTCCTGCTGTGGAG